AGCTTGTTTTTCCTCTGTTGTATGACTCTCTTCCGCAATTTGATCTCCAACTGCTGCGTCGACTACTTCTGCTCTTTGGGGTTCTTCAGCTATTTGAATATCATTCGTTATTTTGTGGTCCTCCTCCGTTTGACTATCCTCTTTCATCGCTTCTTCTTGCTTGCCATCTTCCCGATTGTCCTCGTTCTGTGCAAGCTCCCCCTTTTCTTCAGCAATCATGCCGGCTATCTCCGCTGTTATTTCTTTTTCAATAGATTCTGCCATTGGATTTACTTCATCCTCCTCGGCGCCTGCACTTGTCTCTGCTTTGATGTCATCCAAATTTTCTTCCCTTTTGACTTCCGTCACACTATTTATTATTTCATGCCCTTCAATATGCTGTTCAACGTTTTGTGCGTGCTCAGAATCTTCCGCCAAATCTTGCGGCTCTGACACGTTTTCAATCTGCTCGTTATGTGCCTCCAAGTCTCCTTCATTTGGCTGAACAGCAGTGCTCTCCACTGGCACAAGTTCTGCAGGCTCAATACTTTCAGCCGGCCTTGCTGCTACTTCTTCAGTATTTTCATTTTCCACTAATTGTTCTTTTGTGTCCTCTTTAATTTCATTTTCTTCCAAATTAGCTTCTTCTACAATCGCTTCACTCTCAAGCGAGTGTTCGACATCTTCTTCACTATTTTCATGCTGCGTTTGTATTGCGTCGATGGGCACGGAAACAATCACGGGTAATTTATGTTCTTCCATTGCCGATGAGCTCTCAATGGCCGGCTGTTTTTCCTCGTCCTGTTGGTATTTAGAATATTCTGCCTCCTCGACTGCTGCCAAAGTGGGTTCCTGTACTTCCGTAGCCGCAGCATTGTTTGCTGATTCATTTGCCAATTGTGCTTCTTCCATACCCTTTTCCACTTCCAGCACTGCGTCCGAGATCATGTCAGCTAGAGTTTCATGTTCGGCGCTGATTGTATTCTCACTGTCCAAGCCTTCCCCAGCGTTTAATGCGGCGACTTCTAGTTTCTCAACAGATTCCTGTGGCGTTTCATCAACTGCGACTGGCACAATTTCTTGCTTGTCTAGTTCGGTAGGGATCTCCAAAATTTTATCCGTTAAGATTGAAGCTTCATCATCCATGCGTCTGTCATCGTGCGTTGCGGCATTATTGTCATGCTTTTTATCTTCTTCGGCAGCCACCGGCTCTTGTTGTTCTACGGGCACTGCAAGAAAGGCCACGTGTAATGGCGCATCATTTGACTCCACCATCAACATATCTGCAGTTTCATGAGGCTGTGGATTGTCGTCTGGTCTACCGTTGCCAC